GAAATGAATGCTAACATTGCATTTGCCTTCCTAACTCTAAACTGAACCTGCATTTTAACCTTAGAGAATCCTGATCTAGGACTCCCAAGTCCCTTTGCGCTTTAGATTTCTGAAGCCTTTCCCAATTTAGAAAATAATCTACACCGCTTCCTACCAAAGTGCATTACTTCTCACTTTCCTACATCTGCCACTTCTTTGCCCACTCTCCTAGACAGTCCAAATTTATCTCTCAATCTCCAGGATTCAGGGAATATAGGCCTAGTCAGTTTAATCCCTCCTGAGATGATAATCCTCTCCTCTCAAGAATCAGTCTCGAGAAACCTTCATTGCCCTCTGACTAAAGTGAGTATATTCGTCTCTGAGGCATGGAGACCAAAGGAGTTTTTATGTGCCCTGCCTCTAAACTAGAAGGTCAGGGTTTGAGCCCAACCCTAGGACTTGCTGGTCGCAGGTGGGGCATTCACAATGTGGCCAAACATGTTGGGAATCAACTCATAAATGCTTCCAGCCTGTGGTAAGAGTGAGAGAGATTCTGAGTTGGCCTTGAGATGACAACTAATTGGAGCCTTCGCCAACATCGTCCATGACACCAGCCCATAACAATGCATGTTGCCTGAGCAATGTGGACTCCCTTGAGTGAACCACAAAAGTAAATTTGCAGGACCAGGTGTTCTCTAACCAATGCCCTTACATTGGCTTTCACAATGCAATTTGCAGATCATTAAGACCAACAAATCTTTGACTGTCCTTATTTTTTCTTGTACCTGTTTGCTGACTAGATGTGCTTTGACTGCAAAGACACCCTTTGAATATTAGCAACTCCCTTATATAAAAAAAAATTCTGGTTTTCTCCATCTCCTTCCAAAGTGGATTTTGTCAGAGTTCACTGTTACTGTATTCCACGTGTCACATTCTTGTCTATTCATTCAACTTATTGATGTCTCCCTTTGCAGTTTCTCTCTGTCTCTGGCTTCCTCATCGCTCACTGTCCCAACCAGATTTGTGTCATCAGCAACCTTGGATATATTAGACTCAGTCCTGTCATTTAAGTCATTGACATAGATTGTACTTAACCAAACATTTATCCTCGTACTACTCCACTACTGACATCACATCATCCCAAAAATGACACCCATTTACACCACTCTATCCATTAGCTAATCCTCAAACCACGCTAATGTGCAGCTTCTAACCCATAAATCTAATTTTGTACAACAACCTCTTATGTGGCATCTTATTGAATGTTCTCAGAAAGTGTTGCACCATCAGACCTCCCATCTTTCAGATAAGATGTTCAACTGAGGTCCCTATCTACCTTCTCAGTTGGCTGTAAAATAAAAAACAAAGCAGAGGGCATTCTCTCCAATAACCCACTGTATCCCCCTGAACAAACATAACTATAACATTAAAATAAAACAAAGTAATGCAGATGCTGGCAATCTGAAACAAAAGTAATTGCTGGAGAAGCTCAGCAGGTCTGGCAGCTTCTGTGGAGAAAGAAACAGAGTTAACATTTGATTCCAGTGACCCTTCTTCAGAACTTTTTATTCCCAACCCTTCTTCAGAATTTCTGATGAAGAGTCACTGGGCTCAAAACATGAACCCTGCTTTCTCTGCACAGATTTCGCCAGACCTGCTGAGTTTCTCCAGCAATTTCTGTTTCTGTCACTAACGATCTGTTAATTGTCACACTGCTGTTTGTGGGAGCTTGCTGTGCACATATTTAGCTGCTGTGTATCGTCCATGAATACAGGGACTAGACTTCAGCAAGAAATTCCAATGATTCAAAGTTCTGAGGTTGTGAAAGGGTCCAATATAAATGCAAGTCTACTTACATGAGGGAACTGAACTCTTCTCCATCGATACCAGTATCGAAGTCGCTGGGTCAAAGTCCTGGAATTCCTCACTTAACAGCATCTACAGTAGGTGGATTGGAGCAGTTCAAGAAGGCAGCTCAGCTCCACCTTCTAAAGGGCGATTAGGGACGGGCCAAATCCCACAAGTGGATAAAAATAAAGCCCTTCCCAAACATTCTCTCCTTCTACGCCAAACGTTGGTGGCGTGGCTTAGGAACTGGTATACTTGGAAAGGTAGACTTGGTGGCGCTGTCAACGATTCAGACTTTAATCCCACAACGTTGTCACTGCATGCTGGCTTTGTTGCTGTATGCATAAAGAACTCTACTTGCTGAACTGTCTGGGTCAGTTTGAGGTTTACCCTAGACAAACAGAGAGTGGACATTGCCACGGAATCCCATAGCGTCACATATAATTGAATGGAGCTATTTTTTTCCGGTCTTTTCTTACATGTGGTTTAATATTTCTTATTTGAAACATTCTGCTTCCTGTCTACCAGGCATCCAGGCAGCCCTCCAGTCACGCCTTGTTACAGTTGCAAAGGGACCTTAGGGAGCAAAAAAAAAGAAAGCCAATTAAGTTGTCCACAGGTCCTGTTCTCTTGCAGCTTGAAATTTACTGCCAGCTGCAATTACTTGGATGTCCTGTTTAGATCAATTATCAGCAAGCTTAAAGGGACAGGCCCAGTTAAACACAGCTCCATCGCAGTAGCTAATCATCATCATCATCCCCATACTCCCAGCCCCAGTCTGCCCTGTGAAACTAGAGAACGGCTAGTCATTCACATCAAAGAACATTCTTCCCTGATTTTTTTTATTCATTCATGGGATGAGGGCATCACTGGCCAGGCAGCATTTATTGCCCATCCCTAATTGCCCAGAGGGCAGTTAAGAGTCAACCACATTGCTGTGGGACTGGAGTCACATGTAGGCCAGACCAGGTAAGGATGGCAGTTTCCTTCCCTAAAGGACATTAGTGAACCAAATGGGTTTTTCCCGACAATCAACAATGGATTCATGGTCATCATTAGATTCTTAATTCCAGATATTATTTGAATTCAAGTTCCATCATCTGCCACGGTGGGATTTGAACCCAGGTCCCCAAAACATTACCTGGGTCTCTGGATTAACAGTCCAGTGATAATACCACTAGGCCATTGCCTCCTCTGAAGCAAAATTTGTTTCGTGGCAAAAATGCTACCATAAGATGGTTGAAAAAGATAAAAACCTGTCGAAGGTGACAAACAACTGAAGGACAAACTTTTGAGTTGCGGAGCCTCAGCAAATCAGGGGACAATTTTCATCATTCTCCATGGGCATCACAGAAACCAGGAGATTGCCATCCAACTTCCCAGTGAGTGTCAAGAATTTGCTGGATATATGCCCTTAAAATGCACGATTGGTAATTTGGGCTGCTATTTCACAGGGTAAGGATTTATTTAAGGAGGTGATTTATGGTACTGATGTGAAACATCATCTTGGGGATCCAGAAAGGGAACAATTTGTAACCGAAATGTATTACTCGTGTGTATAACAAATTTATCATAGAACCCCTGCAGTGTGGAAGCAGGCCATTCAGCCCATGCCGGCCATCCAAAGAGCATCCCACCCAGACCCACCCCATGTCTGTAACCCTACATTCCCCATGGCTAATCCATCTAATTTGCACATCCCTGGACACTACAGGCAATTTTAGCACAGCCAATCCACCCTAACCTGCACGTCTTTGGGCTGTGGGAGGAAACCAGGTCAAACCCACGCAGACACAGAGAGAATGTACAAACTCCACACAGACTGTCACCTGTGCATGGATTTGAACCCGGGTCCCTGGAGCTGTGAGGCAACAATTTTAAGCACTGAGCCACAATGCCATCCCAATTAGAATGAGATGATTTAATAGTTTAAAATGTTAAAACTGTTTCCTTACCTTTCCTTTTGGCTTCTCATGTAGAATGTTCAGCAGTAAAAGAGCCATGGCTCTTTGTCTCTGTGCCAGTATTTTTATGAACCCTTTTCTCCATATCACCATCAACCTTTTCCTTTCAAGTAATTTTCACTCTATCTCTCAATCCAATTGGTCTTTCCCTCTCTTCAAATGTCAGTATCTAATTTTACTCTAATTCACTTTATTTGCTTCTCTCTTGTTCTTCTATTTCTCCATCTTTAGTAAATCTCCCATGTGAAGAAGTTAGACTTTGGGGGAAAAAAATCCAATGCATGGGATACACTACAAAGTGCCCCATTCCACTTGGCGTTTGGCCTATTGTCACATAATGGCGAGTAGGGGACTGTCTCTAAATCACATGGTCAAGCTAAGAAGAAATGAAAGCAGTTTCTGAACTAAAAATGTCCACTGTGGCTTTGTTGAGAAAAGTCTCAATTCTGCATCAGAAGGTAGCACTTTCAAGTGCCAATGTCCAGGATCTGAGCATGCAATTATGGGCAATGTTCCAGTGCAGGACTAAGACTGAGCCACACTGTCAGTCTGGGTGAGATGTTAAACTCAAGCCCTGCCTGTTCTAACAGCTGGGTCTCCGAGATCCCACTGCCCCTACTTCAAAGGAAAGCAGGAGATCCAATCCCACATTTGCTGGGTGGCCAATATTTATTCTCACTCCACATCACAAAAACTAATCTTGCTATTTGTCACACTGCATTTTCTTTTGCCATATCAGTGACCACACGTTTAAAAAGTAATCTGTTAATTGGAGGATTGTTTTGGACAATTACTAATGCAAATATTTCCTAATCTACCTGTTCAGAGATGTTAGTGCACACCTCTGGAGCAGATGGGATTTGAATGTGGGCCTCCTGGTTCAGAGGTAGGGATACTACCACTACACTACAAGGGACTCTCAATTATTGTTTAATTAAATAACCAAGCACAGATGCAAAAAGGAATTAGCTATCACTGCAACACTACAGATACCTATCATAAATATTTTAAGCAACCTGGTGAGATGTGTGAAGACAGCTTTGGACCCTACCTTCTACCTCAGCAGTAGGGTTTCTCAATTATTATTATACAATTAAATAAACAAACAGAGAAACAAGTCAGCTACAAAACCTTTTTATTATAACACAGATCAAAGTGCACACTGCATAGCACCACAAGTTGATTCTATCTATCTATCTATATATAAATAATTCCAAGGCAAATAGTCATACTCCTTCAACATTCTTCACTTACTGTGAGAGACCACAAGAGGAGTGGGCAGTGCTGCTTTCTCTTCTGAACACTGACTGAGCGCAGGGCTCTTTTGTCAGTTATCTTCATTCCACACGCCCACTCCCTCCCCAACCTGGCTTCATTCGATTTTCACAGGCAGACCCAGGAACGCAATAACTTAAAACATAAAGGCAGGTGCTGGAAAATGGAAACAAACACTAGAGGATGCTGGAAAAACTGAGCAGGTCTGGCAGCAACTGTGGAAAGAGAGAGAGAGACAGACAGGGTTAAACGTTTCGAGTCCTTCGAGACTTCTTCTGAACTGAAAAGACAGGACGATGCTCGTGTAACATGCTACTTTCTGCACACTCTGAAGAAAAGCGCATGGAGAACAATGGCAAAAGAACGGAGTTAAACCCGGTTGAGAGTGTTACAGAATTCAACTAAACAAATAAATTACTGTCTAAAAAATAAAATCAAGGGAAAACAAAGGGAATATTTGAAACTGGTCTCACAGTAATTAAACAAAACAAATTTGTGTCCAGGACAAAGACTTTCTTGTTCAGGTCAGTCTTTTTGTCACTTGTAAGGTTTTAGGTGAGACTGTTCATTGCATTTTTAACGTGGCACTTTGTGGCTTGAAGTCAGGGAAGGGGGTAAGGTTTTCTTGATGCTTTTCTTAAAAGTACAAATAAATTCAATCCCAGGTTGCGAATGCTGCTGGATGTGTTAGCATTTATCACCCAGGTGTTCTCGTTGCCCGTTGGCAGGTTGGCAGTGATGGGTCTGTTCATTGACTTGTGCTGGCGAAGGACCGATCGGGGGCACTGCCAGGCCAGTGTTTAAACTGCACGTAACAAAGCAAAACACCGTGGATTCGGCCAGAAATTGGAAACAGACTTAGAGAAGCTCGGCAGGGCTTGGCAGCATCTGAGGAGAGAAAGACAGGGTGAACTTTTGAGTCCGGTAATGACTGGGACAGTTTCGTCCAGCTCTTATTCTTCAGTGACTCTTCTTCAGAGGAGCCAGGTGAAGCCGAGGATGTTATATGTCCAGGCAAGGGTTGTGGGTGGTGGCTGGAAAGGGAGCTTGGAGGTCAGGGGATGCTTCGCTGCCAACCTTTACTCCTAGCTTCTGGCAGTAGCGTTCAAGCCACGCCCTGACTCCGGCCAGGCTATAGAAGAATGGCCCCTTGCCTCCCAGGTAAGCGATCTTCTCATCCTGCACGATGCAGAACCTTTCGAAGGAGACGCCGTAAGCCACATTGCTGTCGTTGTCCATGCAGTCTGCCACCACCGGGCACCAGGGGGGCAGCGGGAAGTGCCGAAGGAGGAGGCTGGCAGCGGAGCACCTCTCGGCCAGTGTCCGGTGACGGGGCAGCTGGAAGGGCGAGGTGGCGGCCCAGCCGTCCGAAGGGTGCGCTTCATCAATGTAGACCAGAAGGAAGTCGGCGGCAGCCTGATACTCCTCTGCCGTGCGGCAGAAAGCGAGCAGGCTAGCCACGAACGGGGGTCAGGTGGCCGAGCCGAAATTGACCACCAGTGGCCGGCCGGGGTTGGCGAAGTCCAGCAGGTGGCACTCTGCCAGTGCTCCCACCCTCTGCAGCTGCTCTGCCTCCCCTCGCTGCTCGCTGAGCCGCACCACCCGCGGGTTTGGGGCCTGGCCCCCCAGCCTCACCGGCTTGCAGGCATCCAGGAGGAAGCTCCTCCACACCGTCTGCATTCCCTCCACTGTCAGCATGCGCGGCACGCCGCCCCCAGCTCTTGGGCCACTCAGCCAGGTGATCGCCTGCTTCAGCAATGCCACTGAGTCGTAGACCGCCAGGAAAAGGCAGTTGGAGAAGAAACCTGGCAGGATCTGCAGCTTGATGAGCAGGTCAACACTGAGCAAACCCATCCTTTTCCTTTCCCTCCAACACCCCACAGCCCACCCTCTGCTTCTAGCTTAGTGCTGGGAATTGCAGGGGGGGTGTAAAGAGAGAAGGAAGGAAACTTCCTGGATTCCTGTGGGGTCTGTACCTGTCTATTTCTCCCCCACTTGTATGCTATTACACCTTTTGAAAATACTGGGAAAAGTTTCTGCTGATTCTCACATCACTCCTTTAAACTCTCTCGTTTCAGTTCAGCGCTACTCTGCACTCTGTCTCTGCTAGCGTCACCTTCTCTATCTCTCTTGCCTCTCTCTCTATCTCTCCTGACCCCCTCCCCCCACCTCTCTATCTCTCCTGCCCTCTCTATCTTTCCTGCCTCTCTATCTTTCCTGCCACACAGTCTCTCCTGCCTTTCTCTCTCTCTTTCCCTCTCCCTTGCCTTTCTCTCTCTTTCGCCTTTCTCTCTCTCTCTTTCCTGCCTTT